CTACTACTACGAAAGTGCTCACACAGCGTGGTGGTGGGATGCGTGCAAGCTATGGGATCAGCTCCCTTTACAGGCCCCTGGGTCTGGGCAAGACCCTGCCTCCCTCTCGGACTGCAGCTGTGCCCCTAGCTTGTCTCCCAAGGTCACGGCACTGCACCATTCCAGGGACACCACTTCTGCGGACTTCCATAAGGATCCTGCCACAGGAGTGGCACATGGCAGTCCTGCTTCCTCCCTATGCTCCGGTCCTCTGGCTAACTCTCCACCCGCAGATCTGTGACTGCGCCCCTTCCCTGCTGGAACTTTCTGAGCGGGAACTCAGCAAACAGCCCTAAGAGGAGTGATCACTAATAATGGGAGCAGCTCCACTGTCCTGCTACAGGGACACCAAGCATTTCACAAGAGTCATTCTCTTTCCCACAAGTTGGTTGCACTGTCTCCCCCCAGTCCTTTGTTTAGCAGAGGACACTGAAGCACTAGCTGTTCAAAGGACCATGGCGACTGAGCTGTGGAGCAAAGCCCTCTGACCCCAGTCAGAGCAGCTGGGTTAGCACACGGCACCACCCAGAACAAGGGTCCCCAAAGAAGGTGGCACACAGGAGATTCTTGGGCACCAAGGGCATTCTATGACCTCAACTGGCAGACCCAAGGAGAAGAGCCATGGGCTGGTCAAGGGCTTCCTACAGGACCAGTTCAACATGACCCAAGGGTACAGAGTGGGCCTGAACGGGGGAAAGGGAGAGCAAGAGGGAGCTTTGGACAAGAAAGACAAGAGGCTCCCCAGAGCAGCATTTCTACCCAGGATCCCCGTCCCTTTCTCTGAAGCCACCTCTGCTCCCCCAAGAGGCTGGGAGTGTCTTGCTCCCTTCGAAGTCATCGCTACATTGAGAGATGCATGAAACATGCTTGTTGAGTAGTATGTTTTTTCAATGAGCCATCGGCATTTGCCATGGAAGTCACATACAGCCATCTCAATTCGAGTTTGCTAACATGCTTAAATGAAATACACACACACACACACACACACTTACTGTTAGAGCCGCGAATGCCCAGCTTATCCTCCGGTTTCCCGTTAGTGATCCCGCCAAAGTTTCTTTCCACTATGAATGCTGTGATTTTGTCTTTTGCCACATTATTAGAGTCTACAATCTCTGTCTTTGCAAACACAGTAAAAACGTCAGCCAGTCCTCCATTGGTGATCCACATCTAAGGAAAAAAAGAACAAGAACTTTGAAGAAACAGCCAAACTACGGTGGGGCTCTTCTCCGCCTGTTCCCACAGACTACCCAGCTGCCTGTCCAACTCCAGGCCGGATATGTAAAGTGACTGGCTTGGAAGACCCCGAGTCTGTCTGACCAGAAGACGGGGTCCCGAGCAGGGGGGAGCCTCAGAGCAGAGCTTTCCAGAGTCAAGGCTCTTCTCTAGGGACCCGTGGGGGCAGGGCAGAGATGGTGTGGAGAACAGCAGCCAATGGCAAGAAAGCAACTCAGGTGCAACCAGGCTGCTGCTGCTTCTTCTTCTTCTTCGAGAGAGAGAGGAGACAGGGACCAGGGAGAATGCGGAGGAGGAGAGGTGAGCGGGTTTGGAAGGGAAAAGGAAGAGGAGGGAAAATAGAGAGGCTTTTCAACAAATTACAACGTATGGAACTAGGGAAGACAAAGGCACGAGACAATCAGGCCATCTGGACATTGACTAAATAGAATAAATTAGTTTCTTCTGGAGAACAAACACGGAATTGGGTGTTAGACTGGGAGTCCCTTCCGACTCAGTGGCCCTGCTGGCACAGGGTCGAGGGAGCAGGACAGAGGGCAGAGCCCAACTCTCGCTTCGGCTTCCTGACGCTGTGAATCTCCCGGGAACAGACAGCTTCCGCTTCCGTCCCGGGTGGGGCTGATCTGGCGGTTAGCACCGCACCGTGTAACCCAGTCCACCACCAGGGCTCCCTGATGACGTTCCACCCAGCGTCACTGGAGGAAACGACGCTCTTTCCCCTCAGAAGAAGGAACAAGCCCTCTTCATTTGGGGCGACACCCAGTGAGAGCAGATGAGACGGAGAGAAGAGACCAGCTGGACTCGGGGGTCATGGGGGCAGCTGACTCTCACTGGCACGTTAGGAACTTTCTATAATTAAAAACAACCGTGAAACAGCCCGGGAGGTGGCTGGTGTGATGGCAGCACGAGGTGCCCTGCACCCCCCAGACTGGTGCCGATGGAACGGCCCGTAGACTCTTGCCTAGGGTGGGGCAGGTGGTCGCTATAAACGGTGACCAGTCAGCCTGAGACCGAGCAGGCCAGGGAGCGTACCTTGGAGCCATTGAGGACATAGTGCGTCTTATCTTCACTCAGCGTGGCTCGGGTCCGGATAGACGCAGCGTCGCTGCCGCTGCAGGGGCAAGAACGGGTAAGTGGAAATAATGCTGACGACCAATTATGAAAGATTTTGAGGGCTTGCACATGGTGGTTTCTAATACCCTATCATACCCTATCGGGGGTGGTATAAACTCCCTTTCCCTGCCCACTAGCACCGGTTGGGCCATGGTTTTTCTTTGGCAACAGACGGTAGCAGACCCACCATCGGCAGAAGCCTGCAATATGCTTATGGGGCTGCTCCCGCCCTTTGGGTTCCTACGATCTGCCATGAGATCATGACCTGGGAGAGTCAAGGGGCACAAAAGAGAAAACCCCTGGGGCCACTCGAACCGCAGCCCAGAGCAGGCTGCCCCAGCCAACCTGTGGATCTGAGAGGCACAGTAACGCTTTCTGTTGGAAGCCCAGCTGGGCAGTGCTTTGCCAGGCAGCAGCACCGCAA